AATTGCACCTTCTCCCAAATTGGAAAGTAGTTCATCACAGAAATCAGTTCTAGTGATCTCTACACCAGTTAGTGAGGAAGCTAATGATGATGATCATGAAACTTCAGACCAAGTTGCTACCGAACCTCATAGGACAACCAGAGTATGGTCCGCACCAGAGTGGTACGGTAATCCTTTCTGGAAGTCATGTTACTAGACCATGATGAACCTACGAACTATGAGGAATCGATGATGAGCCCAGATTCCGCGAAATGGTTTGAGGCCATGAAATCTGACATGGGATCCATGTATAAGAACAAAGTATGGACTTTGATTGACTTGCACAATGATCGGTGAGTCGTGAAGAATAAATGGATCTTCAAGAGGAAGACGGACGCTGATAGTAGTGTTACTATCTACAAAGCTCGAATTGTCGCAAAATGTTTTTGACAAGTTCAAGGTGTTGACTACGATGAGATTTTCTCACTCGTATCGATGCTTATAAGTCTATCCGAATCATGTTAGCAGTTGCCGCATTTTATGAAATCTGGCAAATGGATGTCAAAACTGTATTCCTTAATGGATTTCTTAAAGAAGAGTTGTATATGATGCAACCAGAAGGTTTTGTCGATCCTAAAGGTGCTAACAAAGTGAGCAAGATATCCATCTATGGACTGGTGCAAGCGTCTCGGAGTTGGAATATATGCTTTGATAAAGTGATCAAAGCATATGGTTTTATACAGACTTGCGGTGAAGTCTGCATTTACAAGAAAGTGAGTGGGAGCACTACAAATTTCTGATAAGTATATGTGAATGACATATTGTTAATCGGAAATAATGTAGAATTTTCTAGAAAGCATAAAGGAGTGTTTGAAAAGAGTTTTTCAAAGAAAGACCTCGATGAAGCTACTTACACATTGAGTGTCAAGATCTATAGAGATAGATCAAGATGCTTGATAAGTTTTTTCAATGAGTACATACCTTGACAAGATTTTGAAGTAGTTCAAAATGGAAAAGTCAAAGAAGGTGTTCTTTCCTGTGTTGTAAGGTGTGAAGTTGAGTGAAGACTCAAAACCCGACCACGGCAGAAAATAGAAAGAGAATGAAAAGTCATTCCCTATGCCTCAGTCATAGGTTCTATAAAGTATGCTATGCTGTGTATCAATCCTATTGTATATCTTAGCATGAATCTGGCAAGGGAGTACAATAGTGATCTAGGAGTAGATCACTGGACAGCGGTCAAAATTATCCTTGGAAGACTAAGGAAATATTTCTTGGTTATGGAGGTGATAAAAGAGTTCGTTGTAAAGAGTTACGTCGATGCAAGCTTTTTACATCGATCTAGATGACTCTAAGTCTCAATCTGGATACATATTGAAAGTGGCAGCAATTAGCTAGAGTAGCTCCATGCAGAGCATTGTATACATAGAAATTTGTGAAATACATACGGATCTGAATGTTGCAGACCCGTAGACTAAATTTCTCTCACAAGCAAAACATGATCACTCTTTGGGTGTTAATCACATAGCGACGTGAACTAGATTATTGACTCTAGTAAACCCTTTGGGTGTTAGTCACATGGAGATGTGAACTAACACATAAAGATGTGAACTATTGGTGTTAAATCACATGACGATGTGAATTAGATTATTGACTCTAGTGCAAGTGGGAGACTGAAGGAAATATGCCCTAGAGGCAATAATAAAGTTATTATTTATTTTCTTATATCATGATAAATGTTTATTATTCATGCTAGAATTGTATTAACCGGAAACTTAGTACATGTGTGAATACATAGACAAACAAAGTGTCACTAGTATGTCTCTACTTCACTAGCTCGTTGAATCAAAGATGGTTAAGTTTCCTAGCCATAGACATGAGTTGTCATTTGATTAACGGGATCACATTATTAGAGAATGATGTGATTGACTTAAGCCATTCCGTTAGCTTAGCACGATGATTGTTTAGTTTGTTGCTACTGCTTTCTTCATGACTTATACATGTTCCTATGACTATGAGATTATGCAACTCCCGAATACCGGAGGGACACTCTGTGTGCTACCAAATCTCACAACGTAACTGGGTGATTATAAAGGTGATCTACAGGTGTCTCCAATGGTACTTGTTGAGTTGGCATAGATCGAGATTAGGATTTGTCACTCCGATTGTCGGAGAGGTATCTCTGGGCCCACTCGGTAATGCACATCACTATAAGCCTTGCAAGCACTGTAACTAATGAGTTAGTTGCAGGATGATGTATTGCGAAACGAGTAAAGAGACTTGCCAGTAACGAGATTGAACTAGGTATTGAGATACCGACGATGGAATCTCGGACAAGTAACATACCGATGACAAAGGGAACACCGTATGTTGTTATGCGGTTTGACCGATAAAGATCTTCGTAGAATATGTGGGAGCCAATATCAACATCCAGGTTCCGCTATTGGTTATTGACCGGAGACGTGTCTCGGTCATGTCTACATAGTTCTCGAACCCGTAGGGTCCGCACGCTTAAAGTTCGGTGACGATCGGTATTATGAGTTTTTGTGTTTTGATGTATTGAAGGTAGTTCGGAGTCCCGGATATGATCACGGACATGACGAGGAGTCTCGAAATGGTTGAGACGTAAAGATCGATATATTGGACGACTATATTCGGACACCGGAAGTGTTCTGGGTAGTTTCATAGAAAACCGGAGTGTTGGAGGGTTACCGGAACCCCGCGAGAGAAATAGTGGGCCTTATGGGACTTAATGGAGAGAGAGGGCTGGCCTAGGGCAGGTCGCGCGCCCTCCCCCTCTGGTCCGAATTGGACTAGGAGAGGGGGGGGCGCCCCCCTTTCCTTCTCCCTCTCCCCCTTCCTTCCCCCCCCCCTAGTAGGACTCCTCCTGGCGTGCCTACAGGGGCCGGCCGGCCTCCCCCCTTGCTCCTTTATATACGGGGGTAGGGGGCACCTCTAGACACACAAGTTGATCTGTTGATCTCTCCCTGCCGTGTGCGGTGCCCCCCTCCACCATAATCCACCTCGATCATATCGTAGCAGTGCTTAGGCGAAGCCCTGCATCGGTAACATCGTCATCACGCCGTCGTGCTGACGAAACTCCCCCGTGAAGCTCTGCTGGATCGGAGTTCGTGGGACGTCATCAAGCTGAACGTGTGCTGAACGTGTGCTGAACTCGGAGGTGTCGTCCGTTCGGTACTTCGATCGGTCGGATCGTGAAGACGTACGACTACATCAACAGCGTTGTGCTAATGCTTCCGCTTTCGGTCTACGAGGGTACGTGGACACACTCTCCCCTCTCGTTGCTATGCATCACCATGATCCTGTGTGTGCATAGGATTTTTTTTTGAAATTACTATGTTCCCCAACAAGCACAACCCACCAACACGCGCCAGGGGCCTCTGGCCCGCCCTGGTGTCTTGTGGGTTGTGTGGGCCTCCGTTTGCGATGATTCGAACTCCCCAAAATCACATATATTCCAAAATAATTCTCTGTAAAAATTTATTGCATTTGGACTTCGTTTGATATAGATACTCCGCGATACAAAAAACATGCAGAAAATAGGAACTGACACTGGGCACTGGATCAATAGGTTAGTCCAATAAATCATATAAAAAGTTACCAAAAATATGTGAAAGTTGTATAATATTGACATGAAACAATCGAAATTATAGATACGACTGAGGACGTATCAGCGCGTAGCACACACCAGACAATTGGCTAGCCGTGTGCGGCGCCCCCCTCCACAGTTTACACCATCGGTTATATCTTCGTAGTGCTTAGGCGAAGTCCTGCGATGATCACTTCACCATTATCGTCACCGCGCCGTCGTGCTGACGAAACTCATCTAGTACCTCGATGTCTTGCTGGATCAAGAAGGCGAGGGACGTCAGCGAGCTGAACATGTGCATAACTCGGAGGTGTCGTGCGTTTGGTACCTGATCGGTCGGAGCTAGAAGAAATTCGACTACATCAACCGCGTTGTCAAACGCTTCCGCTTTTGGTCTACGAGGGTACGTAGACACACTCTTCCCCTCTCGTTGCTATGCATCTCCTAAATAGATCTTGCGTGAGCGGAGGGATTTTTTTGAAATTGCATGCTACGTTTTCCAACATTGAGAAACCGGGTCAAGCCAAAGAACAACACGCAAGAAGATGTTGAAATCGTACACCAATAGCCAGCCAATAACCCTCCTTGAAAGATACACAAAGTGGCAATGTTTAAAGGGAACCAACATATTTGAGGACACAAACTCTCACAGTCTCTTCGCCAGCGTCGAATCAGACGTCGAGGCTAGGAGTGACCAGAGAGACCTTATTCCAACACGCCAACATCGCCACCACCTCATCAATGTCACAGAGGAAACAAACACCTAAGAAAAATAAAACGAGACAGACGGGTCCTCGCTTCTCTTGCCGCCACCGAGGCCCTCGAACGAGGAATAAGAGGGGGGACCAAGGCGGCGGCGTGTAGGGAAGCAGTGGTGACGGCGGCAGCTGCTATGTTGGGAGAAGGAGGAATGTGTTCGACATGCGCCAGGACCAAAACCTTTTTTTCTTCTTTTGATCGGAAGACCAAAACGTTGATAGGGTGGATTTTGGCCACCATACAAACACACCGTTCGTCTGTCACGTCCCCTCCACCCTAGGGCTTCCGCTGCCTCCCGTTCCGTGCAGCGCACCACCCATCTCTCCCAACTCCAACGGTTCGCTCACGCGGTGCCCGGCGACGCACTCAATTTTCGGGAAAGAAACGGGGGAAGCGATCTTAAATGGAAACCAGTCAATCACAGGCTGGGCAGGCGGTAACTCGTAAGTCGTAACGCCTCCCTCGTGCCAGGCAAAGGCATCTCTCTCCTCATTTTGATTTGAGCTCCCGCTCGACGCCTGTTTTGAAAACCCGGACCGCGTACCCGGTACCCTTCTCTTCTCTCAAAGCCAAGGGCACCCGCCGCCTCCTTCCATCCTCAACCCTCCCAAACCCCCGGCCAATCGAAGCCCGAAACTCGACGCCCAACGCAATGGAGCCACGCGGCCGTCGCCGGAAGCAGCAGGGGGCGGCGGAGGAGAAGGAGAACACCGCCAGCGCGGCGCCGCCGGCCCCCAAGAGGCCGCGCTGCACGGAGCGCAGGGCCCTTGCCGAGCTCCCCGCCGCATCGACCGCGAACAACGCCTCGGCGGCGCCGACGGGGGCGGCGTCGAAGCCGATGACGCGCGCGGCGGCCAGGGAGGCGGCCGCCGCGGCGGTGGAGGAGGAGGCGAGGAGGAGGGAGGGCTCCGCCATTGCCGCCCGCCCGGCGGCCTCGAGGCAGACGGACGCCGGGGCGGCGCAGGCGTCCGTTGGCCCGTACGTCGCGGATATCGACGGGTACCTGCGGTCCCTGGAGGTGAGGGTTCCTCGATCCATCTTCTCGTCTGACAATGCGTGCGCAAATCCGAGTCATTTTAGAGGGCGGCTTGTTTAGGGGTGCGAAGTTCGTGGTGTGGTGGTGGGATTCGGTCCTGTTGGTATGTCAAGGTGATAAATGGCATCACACATTTTGGAATTTCGGGGCGTTATCTTGTAGCAGTCGTGCATTCTGGAATTTGGGGGATTGGATTGGGTTGGGGGTGAATCAATCATTTTTTACTGTTAGATTGGGACATTTCTAGTGCTTTTCCACCTTCACTAGCAGAAAAACAAGTCTTTGGGAAAAAAAATTATACCGTACATGTCATCCTTATTGTCTGAAGGTACTAGCATTACGATGAATGCAATGTAATATAGCTCGGTGCTACCACGACAAAAATGGGGACATTATTTGTGATTTTGTTGCATTTTGTGACATTACAGGTTGAACAATTGAGGAGGCCGAGGGATGACTATATGGTGGCCATGCAGAAAGACATCAGCGCCACTATGAGGGGTATCCTAGTAGATTGGTTGGTGGATGTGGTTGACGAGTTCAATCTTCTGGCTGACACGCTTTACCTTGCGGTTTCATATATTGACCGCTTCCTCGCGGCGAGTGTAGTTACCCGGGACAAGCTGCAATTGCTTGGTGTCGCTTCATTGTTTGTTGCTGCGTATGGGCCTAAACTTTCCTCTTATCTCCTTTCTGCCTCTCTTTGTCATCTCTTACCATGACTGGCCAACTTACAACGGCCTAAATCTAATGCTGTAGGAAGTACGAAGAGATTCATGTTCCTAAGCTGGACAAATTCAGTGACATTACTGACGGCACATACACCAATCAGCAGGTAACCTTCTGCTGAACTTGCCATTTTTGGTAAATTTCCTAGCACTGATGTGAATGGTGGAGATAAATTTGTAATTTGTATGCACTGCAGGTGGTGAAGATGGAGGCTGACATACTGAAATATCTCAACTTTCAGATGGGGAGTCCCACCGTAAGAACTTTTCTATTGTACGTGCTCTATCTGAAATTTCTGCATTAAATTTGCACATACCTATCAACTATCGTCTCTATGTCAAGTACTCCTTCATTCCTTGAACTAAAACCACGACAATAATTTTGGACCGGAGGGAATAGTTACCATGTTTAAATCACATGGGAAGTAGCAGCATGATTACTGCCATAATGGACAAAGAATTTCATAAGCCTAACAATTGATACATGTATTGCAGGCGATTCTTAATATCTTGTTGTGGAGGCAATGTAAGCACATTTTTGGAGCCCTCAGCATTTGCCTCTCTTAATGTTATTTTTATAACATGTTTCCCCCTTCAAACTTCAGTGTGCAAGTGCAAAAAGGTTGGAGCTTATGTGTTGCTATCTCGCGGAATTGAGCTTGCTAGACTACGACTGCATAAGGTTCCTGCCATCAGTTATTGCTGCTGCCTGTCTGTTCTTAGCCAGGTTCACAATCAGCCCAAAGATTTGTCCTTGGGTAAGATTAATCAAATCTTGCTGAATCATTGAATCTACGTTATGCTTGGCTTTGTGTTTGTTCTGACATTTACGTCTGCTAGAACTTTACGCTGCAAGAGAAAACGGGCTACAAGGTCTCTGATCTCAGGAGTTGCATCCTGAGGATACACGATTTGCAGTTGGGCAGACAGTATTCAAATCTGAAGGCCATCAAGAGCAAGTATAGTGAGCGCAAGGTGATATCCGCTCTCCCTGCTTTCTTTGGCTGTTACATGCATTTTCATAATTGTTTGTTTTTGTGACTGTACAGTTCGGGTGCGTGTCGATGATGGCCTCGTCGGAAGAAATTCCGGCATCTCTCCTCAAAGACCTCGATAAGTGAAAGGCTGACAATGCAACTTCATTTCAACATAAGATGGAAGCA